ATATTTTATTGATTTTTTACAGAGAGGAAGGGAGAGAGATACAGAGTTAGAAACATCGATGAGAGAGAAACATCGATCAGCTGCCTCTTGCACACCCCCTACTGGGGATGTGCCTGCAACCAAGGTACATGCCCTTGACAGGAACCGAACCTGGGACCTTTCAGTCCGCAGGCCGGAGCTCTACCCACTGAGCCAAACCGGTTTCAGCCCAAACCGGACTCTAGATTCCAATAATTACAGGCTGTTGTTCCTTGTGATTAAGCCCCTAGGGCAAGAATGTTTTTTGAGATACCTAAGTGGAGAGGTCAATCAAGTGGCTCTGAGGAGGGATATGGGAGTCATCAGTAACCAAGCTCAGAGTGGGGATGAAATAATCCTATTGTAGAAAAATAGGCTGAGAAAGAACAGGACCCAGAGAAACTTAGATTTAAAGGCTGATTGATGGGGGATGAGCCTGCAAAGGAGGCTAAGAAGCTTCGGCCAAAAGAGGTAGTAATTAAAGTATGTGAGTGGAATCACAGATGCTAGGGGAAGACTGTTGATGAGAAACTAGTCAATACTACCAGATGCTACTGAGAAGGGAAGTAAGCTGAGGACTGGGAAATAGCCACCGAGTTTAGGAATGTGAAGGTCACGTGGTGAGCCAGTGTGCCTTTAGTATGAACTATGTCAATAGAATAAAGGTTGTAGAACTCAAAACAGACTGGTTAATGTGACTCAGCTGATAGAGCACTGAAGGATTGTGGGTTCAATTTCTAGTCAAGGGCACATACCTGGGTTGTAGGTTTGACCCTGAGCCTCAGTTGGGGCATGTGCAGGAGGCAACCAATCTGTTTCTCTCTCTTCACCTCCCTTCCTTCCACTCTCTCTAAAAAAATCCATGGAAAAAATATCCTCAGATGAGGATTAACAAAAACAAACACCAGACTGGGTGGAGGAATGGGATGGAGAGAGCCAAAGTATTCAACTGTTTTCAGTATAAAGTGGAAAAACAGGTTGGTAGCTGGAGAGGAAATGATGTACAGTGTGGTTTGGTTTTCTATCAGGGGAGTGTTTAGCATGTCCACACACTGATGAGAATTTAGTAAAGTGGGGAAAGTCAGCCATTCCCAAAGAAGGACGGACTAGGATTCAGGGCACATGAATTGGTACTGGCCTTTAGAAGAACGCTGGGCCTGTTCAGACAGTTCAGAGGAGAAAGATGCAGATGTAGGTGGGTGACCAGATGTGAGTTCTCAACGGACAGCTTTACGCAGAAAAGATAACTGGAAAAACCCAGTGGGATTATAGGGGCTCTGACTCCATTTGAAGTTGGTAACTCTGGATCTATAGTAATATAAATCTGCTTTATAGTGATTTCCTTGGGTGACCAAATGCAGAGAGACAAATGTTTCATTTTATCTAAGCATCCAAAAGAGATGAAAGGTAAGGAAACAGTCTATTCCAAAGAGAATCACTAGAACTTAAGCTCGATAGGAATCAAGAGAAGGAAGAAGCAATGGCCTGACCGCTCCAGTGAATCAAAGAATGAAAATAGAGGAATAGTTCAATCAAGTGAAAAGAATGTGGTCAGCAAATAAGATGCTGGGGCGAAGACAGTGGCCAGGACATAACTATGGGAGTGGATGCCCAAGGAAGTGGAAATCACTAGATTCTGTCAGAGAACTAAGAGACCAAAATATTGGAGTGTCCACATAAACATAAAAGTATCAATGAGAGGATAGGAAGACTAAGGGTTAGCTCCTTAGAGGAATGTAGGAGAGTGGTAGTTTCTAAGGACAAATAACGAGAGGGTGGTACACTTGAATAGCCTCAAAGGAATCAGACTTTGCAAAGGAATGGACAGTTATGCTCTGAAGCCAGAATGACAGGAGCACTAACCTCTCCAGTGTATGTGGTAATCAGATAGTTTTGTCAACCTTTATTCCCACTGTGTTTGAAACATCATATGTGCTCATTATGCCAATGGCAAGACCTGAGGGAGACTCCAGCAATAATGGAAAATGGATGGTAGGAATAAGGTTCTTATAAATATTAAGAGAAAAGAACCAGGATGTTAGAGATTGGAAATGTAGGAAAGAGAATAATTGATGGATCAGACTGAGGGACACTTGTTTCTCCATGCCTGGGGAGAGGTATGATGCAGGTGAATAAGCAAATAGAAGCTCTGGCAATTCAAAGGTCTTCTATGTTCCTAGCCCTTCTCCAGTAATTATTAATTAAATGACTTGGAAACACAGATTACTCACAATCACCTGGCAGTTTAATTACATGCAAGTTTGTTGTATGGACACTCACAAATGTTAATGTGGAAAAAAATCTTTCCACCAGCAATATGATATCTTGGGTCCCCATTTCTTTGTATCTGAAAAATGGGAAGTTCACAAGCTGATTTATCTGCATTTCTGAATTTTATTGGGTACACATGAAGTCACTTGGTAAGGAAGTTCCTGATCAGCAACTTTTACTTTTTTTTTTTTTAATATATTTTATTGATTTTGTACAGAGAGGAAGGGAGAGAGATAGAGAGTTAGAAACATCGATGAGAGAGAGTCATCAATCAGTTGCCTCTTGCACACCCCCTACTGGGGATATGCCCGCAACCAAGGTACATGCCCTTGACCGGAATCGAACCCGGGTCCCTTCAGTCCCCAAGCCGACGCTCTATTCATTGAGCTAAACCGGTCCCGGCAGCAACTTTTACTTTCTAACCTAGGGGTGTCGAACTCAGAGAAGGGGCCAAAATCTAAAATCCAGCCTAAATCACGGGCCGAATGGTTTACTGAACAGTCATAAACTGTCATTGTGATGGAAACGCAGCGGAGTGCAGTGATGACAGCGCGGAGCGGGCCACAATGCAAGGCCTGGCGGGACGGATTTGGCCCGCAGGCCTTGTGTTTGACACATGTGTTCTAACCTTTCTATTTAAGATTTGTTCAAGGGACAGCAGCTAGCTAAAAGCTAATAGAAGCCATTTTTCTCAACAGGTGACTATACATATATGTAGAGTACCTGGGAAGGCACATGAGCATTTCTTTGATTATTGTCAGCTGAGTTCAGTGGTGTTGGCAGAGCCAACATACTGTGCCAGAGGTAGGTATGTTGTCAGCCTGCCCTTAGGGCAGGTGCCAGGGGTTAGGTTTCATTACTTAAATTGAGCCAGGTGCAAGGAACAAACCTAATTATCCAGGATCAGTTAGGAGTGACAGCTACACAGAAGCCACAAGAATGAATTACAGCTTGACCTTTAACGATTTCACATAATTCCTCTGTCTTAAACTCTAGTAAAATTTCCTGGAATCATACTGTATAAAATAAATGCACTGTACCAGCTCTGGGTCACTGTCTCTCCATCAGAGGGCCAGCTGTTCCACCCGGTCCCAGCTTTCCCTAGTGTCTGTCTCTTTCATTTTCTCAATACCCTGTCACCCCTACTCAGGACTCCTGTCCACTCTCTAGCTGTGCTGGTCAAGGTAAAGAAACACACACACACATATGTACTTCTAGTACATTCTGGATTCTTGCTTCCTCATGTTAAAAAGGGAGATAATACCTCTTACTCCTACTTCTGTTGTAAAGATAAAGGTACAGCATGACATATATCAACATCAGAACCTACAAAGTAAGGGCTCAATAGGTGCTTTTTTTGAGGTAGCCTGTTACAGCATAAAAACAAAAACATGGATTTTAAAGTCAGATCTGTTCTCTATATTTTTTAATTTAGGGAGAGAAAAAAGAGAAACACTGATTTGTTGTTCCACATACTTACGCACTCATTGGTTAATTCTTGTATGTGCCCTGAGGATCGAATCTCCACCTTGGAACATCATTGTTGGAGTCTCCCTCAGGTCTTGCCATTGGCATAATGAGCACATGTGATGTTTCAAGCACAACGCTCTAACCAACTGAGCTACCTGGCCAGGGTGAGTCAGATCTCTATTTTAATACAGGGTCTACAGTTAAGAGAATTTTAAACTTCTGGGCCACACAAGGGAGAAAACCGTGTGCTTTGTGGGTGGTTGTAGGACATTATTTTTACTATTGTGGGAACCAATGTCTTGGTTCCATTTCCACTGTAAAAAAAAAAAAAAAAAAAAAAAATGAAACATGGTCAGCTGACGGGGGATAGTTGGAGGTGAGGGGAAGGATTAAGGAGAGCAGTAAGGTGTAAATAACTGCCATGTTAGGGACAGTGAAAAGACCAGGAACCCACAAAGGGTTGCTTGTTGGTAATGATGGCTTGGTTGAGGTTGGAACCTTAAATACTTAGTGACACTCATTACACAACTATGTTTTTCTCTAGCAGTTTGAATGGAGGAACAGAAAAGATTAAACAGCTGGAATGATACAAAAGGACACAAGAGCAGCAAGAAAATGTGGTGATGGAGTGACAGGTCATTCACAGTGCTGAAAGCAGAAGTAAATTCCACAACGGGGAGGAAATAAAAAGAATGGATAGGCTGGAAATAGAAAACAAGCATAGTGGGAACCTGGGATAAAGGTGGAGGAGCTGGAATTAGATAATAAACAAACAGTGAGACAGGAAGTAACATTAAGGAAGTCCTGAAGATTTTGCTTATTCCTTCTTTTCCACAACCACCATTATCACTTCTCTCTTGGATTTCTTTATCTCAAGCCTGACCATATTGCAGCATATGGTCCCCCAAGTTTTCCCTTTCTGATCGTCCCTAAAGCAAAAAAAGACCTTCTTTGCTTAAAGGTTTTACTGTTCATTCAAGAAGATAGAAAATAGTAAATAAGTAACAACTTGGGTATATGATTCAAGTTTCAGAACATTCAGAATTCATATAGGTTTCATCTGTTCTGGAGTTACTGATTTATAAGGAGGTAGTCCCCCCCCCCAAACCCTGATTTCTTGATATGTTGTCGTTAGATGTCTCCTCTTTTCTCTAAATCTAGCAGAATTCCTTCTTGCAAGACACAGTCCACACATAAAAAAGTTATGAATGAATGCATATCCAGCTCACAACCGAGCCATTAGTCAGACAGATTTTATTTAATGACAGCTAGTCAGAGCTCCTATTTTCTCTGTCATCTGGCCAGGAATCACCTTTCTGTTGCTATTACCAACCTTAAAAAATTGCATCCTGACCCCTTGGTTTAACCAGGTGCCTGGAAATGAATGCTGCTAAGGTTTTCCTTCTACACATAGAAGGCAATTTCTCCGCTGCCAGGGTTGAAGCCAGCAGATATGCACTGACAAATAAAGGATGGTGCTAACCAAGTGGGCAAAGCTTCTCCGCCCAGAACATAATCCGAACAGAATAAAAGCGGGTTTATTAGCTCCGGAAAAAGGAGCAACAGTACCCAACTCTCAGGCCACTCCTTACTCTATAAACAGGCTGCCCCCGGCCCAAGGTCCACTGGCTCCTTCAATGTGAGGGTCCATCCAGCGCCTCCCTTCCTGGGTTGGGGATGGCTAGCTGCCTGTTGGTGCGTTTCCCGGCTGTTCAGCAGCAGCAGCAGCACCGAGCCCAGCGGAGGCAGCCTCATAGTCTGCGATGCGGCGCTGCACCAGGGCAGGCATGAGCTGCACGTAGGCGGCCATGAGGCGGTGGCTGGCATGGATCAGCTTCCCAGCACAGCTGTGCAGACAGGCCTCCTGGAGGAAAGACAGGGTGGAGGGAGAGGCCAAAGGTGGCCTGTCAGGGGCGTCCCCCGTCGTAGCATTCCCAGCCTAGGGGTGAGGGTAAAGGAAAGACCCGGCCAAAGGTTCAAGGGGAGTGTGGGGAGGAGGAAGGCAGCCTGCGGTTAACTCTGAGGAAGAAGAGTAGCTCCCTACGCGGTCCCCCACCTCCTCAGCATCCAGAGCTCGGTGGTGAAGGCTGGGCACGCAGCGCTGGAAGCAGAGTTCCGTCATCCGGTTGTAGACCAACAGGAAGTCCCGCAACTGGAAGAGAAGGGGACCCAGGACTCAGCGATAAGGGGGCTCACACCTCTCAATTCTGCGCCGCGCCGCGCCGCCTCTGCGTTTCCCAGGCCCGCGCACCCCAGCCCGTGTCCCCAGCCCGTGGGCCCCTGGCTCCCCGGAGTCCCGCCCTGCGGACGGGGACGCGAGCTGAACGTAAAGTCCCGAAGCCACTTCGAGCCGCTACTCACGTTTCTCAGCTGCTGCTGATGCTGCTGCTCCATCCCGCCCCGGGAGCGCGCCCGCCTTTACTTCCGGTACAGCCTCCCGGTCACGCCCCGGAAGTAATCTCTGGTCTATTTCCCCGAGAGCTGAAGGGATGGCTCCTGGATCGCCCTGCCCCCGGGGCCTGACGTCACTTCCGCCCTTACCAGCTGCGACGTGGCCGGCTTCTTCTGCCCGGGCGGGGACGTCACTTCCGCCGAATCCCTGACCTGCTGCTAGGATCGCGACGGGAACTGGAGCCCGAGGTCCCCGCGCGGACCGGGCCTGGCGCCCCGAGGGGAAGCGCAGCCCAGCCCGAGGTGAGAGGGGCAAGCTCGGTCAGGTGGAAGTTGAATGCATGAACCTGTCCAGAGGGCAAGACACCTCTGAGCTCAGGGAAGGATGAGGACACACCTGATGCCCAGGTGTATGGGGTAGGGGTGGGGGTGGGGATAGGGAAACACACCTGGGGAGACATACATGACTTTGGAAGGGTTCAACCCTATCCTGGGAGGAGGGGGGGAAGAGGCTTTTCCCAGAGGCCGAGAACATATACCAACTGATTGAACTAAGGCCTGGTGGAGAGGGCGAGGAAGAGAAGGTGCATGGGGTGGAGGAGGGGGAGATCACTTGAAGAAAAGGGGGAGAGGAGCGTGCAAGGTCAAGCCCCGGGCGACATACCTGAGCCCTGGAAAGGGGTACATCTCCTGATGGGGAGAAACACCTGCATGGGGATCAGCTCCAAGAGAATACAGACTCCATCCATGTGGTTCACTGCTGTGTTTCCAGGGCCTCAACTAGTGCATGGCACATAGTAGGTACTCAGTCAGTGTCTACTGAATGATTGAATGCTTGAATGATCACGGAGTCCTGGTGGGCTGGGAGAGTCATGAGAAGACACCTGAGGCCTGGGTGTGCATGTGTAAAACTGTGCACCTTGGAGGGGAGAGATGCATATGCTATAAAGGAGTGGTAGCCAAATCGGGACACTCAAGCCCTGGGAAAACATCTCAAACCTCAGAAATGGTAGGGGGGACCTTTCTGTTCTGGAGTCCTGGCCAGTTTCCAGAACGGTCTGTGTTGGGCTTTGCAGGGCGCTGGGGTGGAGACATTGACTCCGGTCCCTTCCCTAGCCATGACGGACGGGATCCTAGGGAAGGCAGCCACAATGGAGATCCCCATCCATGGGAATGGCGAAGCTGGGCAGCTTCCTGAAGATGATGGGCTGGAGCAGGTGCTTCTGTTTGATTTTTTCTCCTTAATTGTCTCCTAAACCCTGGGCTCCCTGGTTTAGTCGCCTTCCCTAACTTATCTAACTCCCTTCAATCTTTTTACAAATTTTCGTTCTGATTCTGTGCAGACTTCCCTTGTGTGCTCTCTCTATGATGCTTCAACCCAAGCTTGTTCTCACCCCCAAAATGCTTCAGCTGCCCCTATGTTCCTGAAGCCCCCCTCTTCTCTGGCCTATAGGACCTCCAGCAGGTGATGGTGTCAGGACCCAACCTCAATGAAACCAGCGTTGTGTCTGGTGGCTATGGGGGCTCTGGTGACGGACTCATCCCCACAGGTATGAATGGTCAGAACAGGACAGGAAACTTGAGTGAGGATGGGGAGAGGCATGGTTCTGGGGAGCATAGGATATGTCTAGGAAAGCTTGAGTTATCTCTAGAGATCTTGGAAAACTCCTGCTAGGATGAACCCTATGGAGTCTTCGCCCCAAGGCCAGTTCCCAGGGGTGTCTAACTGCTCCCACTTACCATTTCCCCTGAGCCTTTTTCTCTGCTGCCACCACCAGAGTCACGTTAAGAATGCTTCCATAGAAGTTCCCCCTGCTCTAGAGCTCGATGCTGACTTGGATCTGTATGAGGCTTCTCAGAGTTTTACTTTAGACTCTAAAATTTAGAGGAATAAACAGCCCTGGATCTCACACAGACTGTGATACCTCATGGGAATGTCAGCCAGGTTTCCTGTTGTCAGGACCCACCATCCTTGACTTTCTAGCCCACGCTCTGTCTATTTCTTTCTGTTTCCTCTGCCCCTATCCACCAGCAGCTCCCTCTAATCCCACCACCACCTCAGAAGGAGGCCAGATGTATATTGGGATTTGGGTTTCAGAGCACAAGACATGAGTTCCTTCTAGTGAGTAGGAGAATCTAATTGTCTCTAGCTTCTGCTCCTTCAGGACAGTCCTTTTCAGGAGCTGGGAGGGAAGTATGGGTGGAGCCACAGAGGTGTCTGGTTGTATTTGAGAGAGGCTGGTGTCAGAGAACTTGGTCCTTTAGGGTCTGGCCGCCATCCATCTCACAGTGCCACTCCTGCGGGCCCCGGAGATGAGGTGGCTCGGGGCATCGCTGGAGAGAAGTTCGACATCGTCAAGAAATGGGGCATCAACACATATAAGGTGGGATTCAAGCACCTCTCCCTTCCTCCAAACTCCCCATGGGTACCTTTCCCCTTCTCCCAGATACTAATGTTCCATCTAAGGCTGAGAGTAGGAGTCTGGGTATACTGGGGTACCTACCTGTTGTATACTGGGGTACATACCTGTTGTGGGGGCAGGGTGCTAGGGTCTCTGACTGATTCCCCCACTTCCCAATCAGTGCACAAAGCAGCTGATATCAGAGCGATTTGGCCGAGGCTCTCGGACTGTGGACCTGGAGCTGGAGCTGCAGATTGAGCTGCTGCGTGAGACAAAGCGCAAGTATGAGAGTGTCCTGCAGCTGGGCCGGGCGCTGACAGCCCACCTCTACAGCCTGCTGCAGACCCAGCATGCACTAGGTGACGCCTTTGCTGACCTGAGCCAGAAGTCCCCAGAGCTTCAGGTGCCTCGGCCAAGCCCAACGAGGGTGGGGGGACTGGGCCCAGGCCCTCCCAGGCAGTCACCCCTCAGCCTCCCTCCCTCCCTCCCTCCTGCAGCCCAGAGGGAGAACCCCTACAGGGTGGGCCCAGCCCTGCCCCCAGCAGCACTCACGTGTGGAGGCAGCTTAAGGGTTTGTACAGAGGTCCAGAAGTTGGAGGGGCTGTGGGAGGCGGCACACACCAGGTGCCTCACCAGTAACCCTTCTCTGCATTTGTGAGAATGCCTTTGATGCTCAGCCTAATCCGAGCCCCTCCCTTGCCTGCTGCACTAGCTTTCTCTGTTCTAGCCCTGTGAGCTTCTCTGAGAACCCCACCCCCACGTTCCCACCCCAGGCACCCCCAGGGTGGCCCCACTCACTTTCTGGCTAAGAGAGCCTTGCTGGAGGCAGACCGTGGTTGTTTCAGAGTTGATGGCTGCTTCCTCCCCGGGGAAGGGGGGAATGAAGGGCCCTATAGCTCCAGTCAGGTAGGGACCCTTTCTTAAGGCCTGTCCCTCCCTTCTGCCCTCAGGAGGAATTTGGCTACAACGCAGAGACGCAGAAGCTGCTGTGCAAGAATGGAGAGACACTGCTAGGGGCTGTGAACTTCTTCGTCTCTAGCATCAATACATTGGTCACCAAGACCATGGAAGACACACTCATGACTGTCAAACAGTATGAGGCTGCCAGGTGTGGGCACTGGCAAGGGCCTAGGGTTTGGGGAGTTGGCTGGCGTGGGTGGAAATTTGAGGTTAGGATCCTAAGAGCTCAGGAAGGAAAGGAGAGTGTGGAGGAGAAAGGGGTGGAGATGAGCCTCTGTCACCCCCTCCCCAGGCTGGAGTATGATGCCTACCGCACAGACTTAGAGGAGCTGAGCCTAGGCCCTCGGGATGCAGGGACACGTGGTCGACTTGAGACTGCCCAGGCCACTTTCCAGGCCCATCGGGACAAATATGAGAAGCTGCGGGGAGATGTGGCCATCAAGCTCAAGTTCCTGGAAGAGAACAAGGTGCCAACCCCACCCCTCTGACCCCATCCCATCTCTCCCGTCTGTAACACTGACCCTCCCCCCCAGACCCTGCCCATCGTTGGATGGAGTAATGCAGTCTGACTAAGGAGCGGGGTCTTCTTTTAGCCCCCTCAACCCCTAGACCTTTTGGGGTCTCCCTCCTTCCGATCCGTAGCCCTTTTCTGTTGGAGAATTGACTGCCGGTCCCAGGATCATGACAGAAAGATCACACCCAGAGTTGTGGTGCCAGATCCCTGGCCCCAGCAAATCAAGTCAGGTTTCTCCCATCAGCTTACCCTTTCTCCTTTGATTCCCTTGGAGGAGTTCCACCCCCACCCCCAAAGCACCATCAGAGCAGATTGCATGCGCCCCTGGTGTGGTCTCAGGCTCAGCCCCTCAAGAAGGGCATCTGAGTCCAGCCTCAGCTGACCCTCTGGACCCCCAGATCAAGGTGATGCACAAGCAGCTGCTGCTCTTCCACAATGCCGTGTCCGCCTACTTTGCTGGGAACCAGAAACAACTGGAGCAGACCCTGCAGCAGTTCAACATCAAGCTGAGGCCTCCGGGAGCTGAGAAGCCCTCCTGGCTAGAGGAGCAGTGAGCCGCTCCCAGACCAACCCGGCTATCATAAAGACACTGGGAGGGGCAGTCCCAGGGTGGGGGAGATCGCACACGGGACGTCCCTTGCCACCTGCCCTCAGGCATGGGCTCCTTTCCCCTTGCTGGGGACTGACACCAGTTTTGCCCACATTGCTGTGGGTAGGGATGGGGCCTGCAGGCCGAGCAGCAGCTGCCCTGTCCCATATCTTCCTGGCCACTGGGCTTTGTTCCCAGATCTCTTCCTTCCACTCCACAGCCAAAGGCTATGACAAAACTCCTCCCTGGCCAATGGTATTGCTCAGGCCTGTCCCCAGCTCCTGGGGTGTGCCCCCCGACCAACGGCAGAGCCTCAAAAGGCCCTGTCAGCCAAAGGCAGCTCTTCTTGGGCTCCCCTGGGCCAATGATGTTGCCTCCAATACCCTTTGTCCCTCCTCTATGCGTGCCCGTTGCAGAGAAAGGGACTTGGGACCAAAGGGGTGGGAATAATGGGGAGCCCCATTTCTGGCCCTGCATCAGAATGGGCACCCCCTCACCCATCCACCCAGTTTCATTGTGCTTAGAGCCCTGGAAGATTGGGACCTAGCACTAGGAATAAACCTTTCGTAAAAGCAGGCCCAGTGAGGTCAATTTGTGGGGGATTCTAGGAGGGTGGGCTGGGTAGAGAAACGCTCAGTCTATTACACCCAAATCCTATCAAGTCAGAAGGGCTGGGGACAGACAACTGAAGCCAGAGGTTTCAAGAACAGTCTGAGGAAACCACTCTCCTCCCCCAGACCCAGTTTGAGCCAAAGCTTCACTTGCCCTCTAGGCCAGCACCACGATAGCTAAGGATCTTAAGAGCCCAGGCTCCAAGGGGGGTTGGGCCCGCTGACCATCATGCATTCATTTATACAGCAAATATTTACTGAGTGCTTTTACTTGCCTGGCACTGCCCTAGCCCCTGGGGAAACATCAGTGAATGAAAGCACAGTCCCTTCCCACAGTGCTTATGGTCTAGTGAGGAATAGAGACGCAGTAACCAGGCAACTACAACACGATGATTAGTACTAGGATACAGAAGTTCAGGGAGCTCTGGGACCACAGGGGAGGGGCCTCTCCTAGACTGGAGTGGAGATGAGCATGTCAACTGGAAAGCTGAGACAAAGGGTATTCAGACAGCCATGAAGAGTAGAGGAAAGAGCAGCAGAGGCTGAGAGGCCAATATGCGAAGGCCCCGAGTAGGAATCTGGAGGAATGAATGGAGTTTCACTGGGTGAAATTGAAGGGGAGTGGCTGGAGGAGGACTACAGAGGTAAGAGATCAGGGTAGGCCTGCCTCTTCTGGTCGATTAAGGGCGTTTGCCCTTTGGAGAAGAGGAACCAGGAGGCCTTTTCGGCAGAAGTTTGATGGCGTAGGAGAAGTCTAGGGTTGAGGAAAGTAGTCCTTGTGAAGCTTAAACTAGTGTAACACAGACCCCAGTTCCCTCGCAGTAGCTCTGGTCCAATCTCCAAAGCAAGCAGGAGTCCTGCTGAGGCTCATCACCTGTGCTGGGGGCCTGAGCTCAGGTGGATAAGGGGTTGAGGCAGTTTCCAGGGCCCCTGTAGAGCCCCAAATCTGAACCTTGTCTGAGGCAGGAAAGCTCTCCAGCAGCACTTTGAGCCAGAGCTCAGGTGGTATCATCTCTGCTCCTTGGCTAAGGAGAGCCCCAGAATGTTTCAACACTCCCCTACCTGCGTGGAGGCCTGGAGGAAGGGGACGCCCCAGTCAGCAGATTCTCCCAGCGCTGAGATCCAGGTGCAGCCCGACTTTGCCCTTAGTCACAGACACTGCAGCTCCCAGGCAGGCAGGCTTCCTGGGCTTTGGTCTGCCTGCAATCAGCTGACTGCAGCTTGATTATTAGGGGGAGGGGTGACTCCCGCTTTATGAAACACTGGGGGTTTTTGAACACGAAAGGTACTAATGAATCTCCAAGTGACTGGAGGCAGGACCTTCACACAGAGCTCAAACGCTGGTTACACCGCCTTCCAGCTGAGCGATCAGGGTTAATTCTAGGGAGCCGGGAGCCTCAGTTTCTTCCATTGTATGACACGGCTTATAAAAGAAGCTACCTATTAACAATATGAGTATTAAAAGAGATAATACATGCAAAGAAATTCGTTATGTGTCTGGCACCATATAAGCACTCAGTCCCTGTTCACCGTTGTTATAATTTTTATTATTTTCCACGGGGGCTGCTTTCCCCCCAATGAGATGATTCTGAGAATTGCTCTGGTCTTTGGAGTGCGGGAGGGAGTCGCTGGATGGTTGGGACCGAGATTTCCTCGCCAGGGTGCTCCTCGGGGAGAGCCAGGCAGCTAGAGCCGGATCAAGTCCCCCCACCTGCCTACCCCGTCCCCCCACTTCCAGAGCTCTGGGTCCTGCCCTTGCACCTTGGGGCCCTTCCCGCCCAGAGATCCGTGTCGAGGCACAGGATGATTCCTGTCTCCCATGATCAACGGGGACCACACTAGCATATTCCGTAAGACATCCCCTCCACCCCCCTCGAGAAAGCCGGGCAGGGAACCCCCAGGAGGAGGCAACCCGAACCGCCACCCAGAGTCCGAAATCTCTGCTGCCCAGCTTGTCTCTTCTTGCCCGAGCCTCCCCGGGTCTCTGAGACCCACTGTGTCGCCTGCCCTGGAGCCGCAGGGAGCCGGAGGCAGCTGGCGGGATCCGGGACTCGGGATCCGGGATCCGGGATCCGGATCCGGCTCTCGGTGCCCCAGCCCGCACAGGAGGCGGTGCTCGCCCCAGGCTCGGAGCGGGGGCCGGGGGCGGGGCCTGTCCGGGGTGGGCGGGGAGTGGGCGGGGCCTCAGTGCCTGGCCCGCCCCCTCCCCTGGCTGGTCCGCAGCCCCGCCCCGGCCCCTCCCTCCGGCCTGTGCGGCGGGTCCGGCGGCGGCGCCGGCGCGAGGACCCGCGGAGGCGAGGGACGTGGGGCGGCGCCGCGGGCAGGGCCGGGCGGACGGGCGCGGGCAGCGCGGGCAGCGCGGGCGGCGCCGCGGGCCCTCGGAGCGGCTGCAGACCGGGCCTCGGCCTCCCATCCCGCTCCGCCGCGGTGAGTGCGCCGGGGGCGTCCGGGTGCGTCTGTGTCCCTGTCCGCCCGGGCCGGGGGCCGGGTCCGAGCGGCCGAGGGTGGGTCTGCGGGTGCGGGCACGGATGCTCAGCGAGGCTGCGGCCGCCTCTGTGCACGTGAGGCGTGTCCGTGCCCGCGGGAGCGGCGGGGGCATTCTCTGGGCTGTGGCTCTCACGTGAGGTCCGTGTTGGAGGGGGGCAGGCGCGGGCGGGCGGTGATGGTTCCTCCCTTGGAGAGGCGCGGGGTTTGGGAGCCTGTGTCTGCGGGCGGAGGGAGTGGGTCGCTGCGGATGGTGAGGGTGGCGGTGGCGGGGGGCGGGTGGGGGGTTGCTGAGTGGGACTCTGGAATCTTGTGGCCCAGCCTGTATGAAGGGTTCCTTTCTCCCTGGTGCCAACACTTCTACCCCTTGCTCCTCCTCACCCCACCCCTTCATCCTCCTCCGGCACCAAAAGCCCCACCGGTCAGGATGGAGGACACTCTTTCCTCCCCTAGCCCTGCTCCCTGGACAGGAAGCCCCATCCGGAGGCTGTTTCTTGTAGGAAAGGACTCCCCCCACCACCCTCTGGTTTCCTTGCAACCTGTGCCCTGCCTGGAGGACCCCAGGCCCCTCCCTGGTCTGGCCTCCTCCCCTCTCCACTTGGCTGCAGCTCTTGGGCTGCAAACCTGCAGGGACAGATGGTTGCAGGTTGGAGGGGCAGGCTGCACCCCAGGGAGGTCATTCTGGCAGAAGGCAGGCAGCCCTGGGCTTGTTCCTGGTGTGTGTGTGTGTTGGGGGTGGGGGTGGGAGGAGGGAATAGGGGAGGGGGTCTCTCAGGTGGAGATTGACCCCAGGAGGAAGATGAGGTCTGGGAAGTTGGAACAGGTGTGGTCTTTTTCCCAGGCGCCCCTGCCTGCCTGTCCAGCTCACCAGGGCCCATTCATCCCTTAAGCAGGGCTCTGATTGACTGCGGAATTGGAATCAGAGCTGCAGGGCTGACAGGTGCCCTGCCTCTCTGGTCTTGCATGCCTCCAGTGACAGCGCGCTTACTCTCCTGTGCTGTGGGGAAGCTTCTCTAGATTAAGTGGAGGGCTTTTCCCTTGGAGCTTTGTTCGCTTACCTTGTCGGTCCCTTTGCTTTTGCCTCCCTGTCCGGTGAGAGGAGACTGCAGTGATTTAAACACGGCTCGCCCGTCACCGATGTATACTGGGCACCCTCTGTGTGTCAGGTGCCGCCGCCTCAGCCACTGAGGGGACAATGGCATTCTTGATGAGAGCAGAGCTTGAGCCAAGGCCCGTAGTTGGGATGACAGCCTGTGTTCGGAAAGACAGAGCAAAACCATACGGCTGGGATAGGAGGGAGTGCCGTGGGTTCCCTAAACTTGGCAAACATTATTTTGGAAGGGAGGTGGGGGCAATTGCACCCACCCTCTGACACATCTGGCCTTACCATGGAAACCAGCAATCACATCCTCAGGGTAGCACAAGATGGGGTTTACGTGTGGGCATATATTACAATCCGTAGGGACTTTTGGCTGGAAGGAGAATCTTGGGAATCTCAGATTTGGGGAACAAAAAGACCCCCGATCCCCCCGCCCCCTCCCCCCACAGTTTACAAGTAAGGGGGGGGATGGAGTAGGAACTTGCCCAATCTTACCTTGCATTTGTGAAATTAGCGTCCGTCAAGAATAGCTCCTAGATCGCCGGACCTTTTTCTAACCTATAAACATTTTAGAGGCAGAATCAAGGATCGTCATAGCTAGTATCCGGAAGGTGAGCGAACCGAGAGGACTCCTAGGGTTGGTGTGGTTCGATGGATGATGGTGCCCCCCCCCCCCTTTTTTTTTTTTTTGAGATGAGAAACACAGCAGGAAGAGTAGGGGGAAATGAATTCAGCTTTAGGTGAGTCTCCACTCATTTCCCATGTAGACTTGTCCAAGATACAGTTGGGTATACAGGGCTGGGGCTCAAAGTTTTCTGCACCGGAGATGAGGGATCTGGGAGTCCTTAGTCAGTGGTTAGTAACTAAACCCTGGCAGAGGATGAGATTTCCCTGGCAGAATATGAAAGTGAGAGAAGGGCCCTAGAACAAGGCCCTGGGGAACTAGACATTTAAGGAATGGGCAGTGACCGAGCAAGCAAGGAGCAAGTGGAGAACTCGAATGCAGTGGTCATGAAAGCGTCGCGTACAGCCTCTATCTACCCTTTTGAGTCTTGCTCTTTGGCCAATCTGGTCCGTGTGTCTTAATTTTTCATGCTGTTCCTTTGCTCAGCTTTCCCAATGTATCTGTCCTACTCCTATTGGTCCCCCAAGCACCAGCTCAGATATCCCTTCCCCTGGAGGCCTGTTCTTGCTCCTTCACCACCTTCTTCTGACTCAGAGACTCCCTTCTCTTCGCTGCCACAGCGTTCGGATATGTCCATATCAGGACACTCATCACATTGTAGTTATGTATTTCCATGTCCATTTCTACACTTGTCTGAGAGCTGGGAAGGACAGGTAATATTTCTCTTTCAGCTTTGCACCTCCAGGTCCAAGTGAAA